AAAAAAGTAGAGGTTACTTCAGTGGTGGTAACTGGATGGGTGGAAGTGATGATTAGAAAACTTTGGCTCACACCTGCAATCCCAGCACTTTGGGAGGCTGAGGTACAGGTGGATCACAAGCTCAGGAGATGGAGATCATCCTGGCCACACAGGGTGAAACCCCATTTCTACTTAAAAAAAAAAAAAAAAAAAAAAAATTAGCTCGGTGTTGTGACTTACACCTGTAGTCACAGCTACTTGGGAGGCTGAGACAGGGGAATCACTGGTTTGTTTTCATTCTACTAAATTTTACATTTACTATCTTGACTTTTTTTCCTCCTTATTGACAGGAGTTTACAACACAAATGTCTGGATTATCCACATTCACAGACGCGTAAGACAGGAGTGCAGGCGCTGAGTCAACATAGCAGCCTATGTTATGGGGATCCTTTGGTCAAAACCACAAATATCCAATGATCTTTTCCCAGGGCTTATCCTTCCTTGGCCCAAAGTCTCCCATGGCCTCCTGTAACACAAACTTAGCTTCTCCAGGAATGGTGTGGTACACAGAATAAACTGGAGTCAAGCTGGTTTTAAATGCTGGTTCTTTTTGCTGCTATGTGAATCTACAAAGTCAGTCTACCAAATGAGGCTAAAATTGGCTACCTTGGAAATGGAGAGGAATAAATGAAATAGCAAATGTATAGTTGACATACAGTTTAACAGATGCTCAATAAATGCTGATTTCCTTTCCTCCTTCATGTTTTCTCTGTCCTTTAGTACTTTTCTTTTTTTTTTTTTTTTTTTTTGAGATGGAGTTTCACTCTTGTTGCCCAGGCTGCTGCAACACCCATTCCCTGGGTTCAAGCAATTTCCCTACCTCAGCCTCCTTAATAGCTGGGATTACAGGCATGCACCACCACACCTGGCTAATTTTGCATTTTTAGTAGAGTTGGGGTTTCTCCATGTTGGTCAGGCTGGTCTCAAACTTCCGACTTCAGGTGATCCACCCCGCTCAGCATTCCAAAGTGCTTAGATTACAGAAGAGGGCCACACCTGGCCTCTACTCATTTTTTATTGGATGTCTTTTAATTTTTATTGATTTGTGGGGGTCTTCAAATTCAAGATAGGAGCAAAGAGACATATTTCTCTTGTAGATATGAGTGCATTTGGCTGGGTGTGGTGGATTACACCTGTAATCCCAGCACTTGGGAAGGCTGAGGTGGGAGGATCACTTGAGCTCAGGAGTTTGAGAATAGCCTGGGCAACGTGGCAAAATCCCATCTCTACAAAAAATACAAAAATTAGCTGGGAAATGGTGGTGTGTACTTGTAGTCCCAATTACTCATGAGGCTGAGGCGGGCGGATTGCTTGAGCCTAGGTTGAGGCTGCAGCGAGCTGAGACCACATCACTGCCTTCCAGCCTGCATGGGCAACAGGGTGAGACCTTATTACCCGCCCCCCAAAAAAGAAATGAATTAATTTGTTTGATGCTATTAGAGTACCACTAACTTCCCTTACTTTGGCCCCAAATCCACAAATGAACCCTCCAGAAGGTAATGCAGAAAACTTCATGCATTCTCTTTAAAAAAACCTACTGAGTCTTTATGCCAGGGAATTTCGTATTAACAGATACAGTGCAGGTCTCTCATTTCCTACATGATTAGAAACACTAATGATGAAATGAGAGACCTATACTAGAACTCTAACACCTTTGAGCTTAGTGAGTTTAGGCAAGTTATTCAACCTATTTTAGCTTCAGTTTCCTCATTGGAAAAATGGTACAGACAATACCTATTTTATAGAGTTGTGAAGATTAAATCAGACAATACATGTAATAGGCTTTGCACAGTGGCTGGCATACAAAAAAACATTTAATGTATGGTAGCTACTATAGACTTGGTTATTTCCATGTAGCTTTCCACGTCTACAAGGAAGGAGAAAATAAGCAGATGTCCATTATAGTTTGGCTATCACTGTTTTCACTCCAAAGTAAAAAAGGCATTTAGATTTACATAAGTCTTCTGGGAGTTTGGTTCTTCTGACTCCCTTCATCTGTGAGACCATAGGTTACTTTTATAATATGATAAAAATTATTAGAAAAAGGAAATAAAGGCTGGACATGGTAGCTCATGCCTGTAATCCCAGTCCTTTGGGAGGCCGAGGTGGGTGGATCACTTGAGGTCAGGAGACGGAGACAATCCTGGCCAACATGGCGAAACCCTGTCTCTACTAAAAATCGAAAAATTAGTGGTGTGTAGTGGCATGTGCCTGTAATCCCAGCTACTAGGGAGCCTGAGGCAGGAGAATTGCTTGAACCCAGGAGGTGGAGGTTGCCGTGAGCCAAGATTGCGCCACTGCACTCTAGTCTGGCAACAGAGTGAGACTGTCTCAAACAAAAACAAAAAAGGAAATAAAGACATATACAACAGTATAATCCCTCAAATATTTATTAGACCCACAGAAATAAAATTAGTCTGTTAAACTGCTGTTAAGTTTCCAAATTCTTTCTTACTTTTGTAAATGCCTTGTCATGGATGTGTAACAAAGGGCTTACAGACTGGCACTACCCTGTGGACCATACTTTAGGTGACAGTGCACTAGGGCACTGACAAAAATCAGACTTCTGAGTCCACAGGGCTGACGTCAAAGCAACTGAAGAGTGTCCTGACTCACCAGGTGGCCACCTAGTGGCCTTTTTCTAGCCATAAGCACAATGTTGTGTCACTCCTTAGTTCGAAAACTATCCACTGTTCTGCCTGACTCAAGGGTGAAATCTCAGTCCTTTAATCTAACATCCAAGGCCTTCCTGAGCTGGTTCCAAACAACTTTTTAAGTCTGACTTTCCACGATTCTCTATTTCATTAACTGCACTGTCCAATATGGTAGCAACTAGACCCACTTGTAATGCAGGAAGTGAAATGAAACTAATTTAGGATTTTTAATATTTAGTAATTTTTTATATTGATCACAAAGTGAAGTATTATTTGGATATACTGGATTAAACAAAGGGCATAATTAAAATTAATTCCACCTAGACAACATGCCCAAAACCTAGGAATCACAATTGATTCCTCCCTTTCCTCATTTGACTGGCGAGCAAGACAGGTCAGCTTTTTGGATCTATCCACTTTCCTCATCTCTACTGCTACTCTCCTAGTCCATGATACTCCCATTTCTTAAATCCTTCAGTGGCTTCCAGTGCACTTCACCCTCTTACCAAGGCTGAGCGATTCACTTTGTATCATTTCTTCTTTTGCTCACTAGACTTCAGCTACACTGACCTTTTTGCTGTTCCCTGAACATAACAAATGTCTCACCTTAGGGCCTTTGCCCAGCTATTCCCTTTGGTCTCACACTATTCTTAATTCCTTCCTAATACCTTTTCACTGAGGCCATCTCTGATCAACCAACCACCAAAACTTTGCTCTATTTTCCCCAGAGTAACACTTTACCCAATCACCCTTTAATCTTCTTCATGAACTTTTTTTTTTTGTGACAGAGTCCTGCTCTGTCACCCAGGCTGGAGTACAGTGGCACAATTTTGGCTCACTGCAGCCTCCGTGTCCCAGGTTTAAGCTATTCTCCTGTCTCAGCCTCAGTAGCCGCCTCTGCCTCAGTAGCTGGGATTGCAGGTGTGTATCACTGTGCCCAGCTATTTTTTTTATTTTTAGTAGAGAAGGGGTTTCGCCATGTTGGCCCCACTGGTCTTGAACTCCTGACCTAAGGAGATCCACCCACCTCGGCCTCCCAAAGTGCTGGGATTACAGGTGGGAGGCACTGCGACCAGGCTTCTTCACGAACTTATTATGGGATATTCTCTATTTTTAAAACTTGTTTATATGCTGTTTCCCTCTAAAAAGAGTAGAAAACCTGCTTGTTTTGCTGCTGCTTTATCTATTTCAGTGTTTAGAACAGTGCCAGGCACAGAGTAGGTGCTCCTCCAACAAGTGTTGAATGAATATCTAATTGCTGACTATACCTAACTGCTTGGTTGGCTCACAGGCACTTAAAGTTTTACACGGTCAAAACAGAGCCTTCTTCCTTCCTAACATATATTCTCTCTTGTTGTTCCTAATCTCAGTGAAGACATTACTATCCTCCTAGCTGCTCCAACTCACCTGGGAGTCACCTTTGACATCTATCTCCCTCAGTCATTTTCAGTTAACCAAACATCTCACTAATATCACTTTTATTTTCTTCACTCCTACTTGCCACCAACTAAATTTAAGTCACTATTGGCTAACAGCCTACTGTTTTCTCCAAACTCTTTTCCTCGTCTGAAATTTTTGTGTAACAGGGATCTGTCTAAAATGAATTCAATCCTATGATTCTTTCACTTAAAATCTTTCAATAGCCCTGGCTCTCAGAAGCTGACTTCTGCATATAGCATTCAAGGCTTTCAGAAGTAGATCTCCAGCACTGTCTTCTTTACCCAACAATCTCTCAAGTGTTTGCCTCCAAACATCTGTACTTACTGCTTCTTGTCTAGGTCTTCCCCAATACTCTCTCTTTTTTTTGAGACAGAGTTTAGCTCTTGTCACCCAGGCTGAAGGGCAATGGCACCATCTCGGGCTCACCACAACCTTCGCCTCCTGGGTTCAAGTGATTCTACTGTCTCAGCCTCCTGAGTAGCTGGGATTACAGGCATGTAGCACCATGCACGGCTAATTTTGTATTTTTTAGCAGAGATGGGGTTTTTCCATGTTGGTGAGGCTGGTTTCGAACTTCTGACCTCAGGTGATCCGCCCACCTCGGCCTCCCAAAGTGCTGGGATTACAGGCATAACCCCCAATGCCCTTATTAAAGCTAATGCTTCTTCACTCCCATTCTACTCTATTCCTCCCTCTTGGTTTAATGAGGGGTTCCTCCTTTATTTGATTCCACAGTATTCAGCAGCTTCACTCTCATCATACTGATGATGCCTATTTACTTGTCTACATTCTACAGTCTAAAATCAATGGGGGTAACAACTCTGCAGCAATAATTAACTGTTGACTCAAACAGTGCTACAGAAAAATTTTGACAAATTTCTATTAACTGAAGCAATGAAAATATTAAATCAAAATAAAACATAGACTATGATTTTTATGCTACTTTTCTTCTATTTTAGGCACAATGCTTTAATAAATTACGCAGACTACAAAACTTTACTACATCAATTACAAAAGGCTGAGTGGAGAAAGATTACTTATCTGAGGGAGCACAAAATCAGTACGCAATATGGATTTCATTGAAGCTTGTCAACTCTCCTGGATTAAATTACTGGCGCTGTCTCAAATATTCCCAAGTCCTAGATGTAGGTAGGATGCTAGAAGTTGCAGTTTTTAGGTTAGGAAAGCCACGTCCAGGCTCCGCTGTGAAAAACATACCAATGTGTTAAGCTCCTAAGCAAATCACATCTAGATTAAGTTCAAAAGGTGTTTTAACTTTGCAAATCTCCATCTCCAAACAAACTTTTGCTACTTTCTCAATAGAACACAACAAAATTTTTTGACATTCCAGCCACGGAGAAACAGAGCTCTACCTCTGAGAGGGCAGTAATCCAAGAATATTTAGCAAGCAGTTACAAGGGTCTACGAAATGGGAGGCACTATTACAATGTTGGGGAAAAAAAGCTACAGAAATATGTACATCTTCGTCATGAACCTGACTGCTGATTTTATACAAAAGTGGAAAAGGAACCCCTCTCGTTCCTTCCCTGGTACCTCCACAGCGACTCTCATCCCAGTCTGCCTAGTTGAATGTAGGGCCACTTTAACGTAAATCCTAGCCTCCTGGCTGTCCTTCCGCCTCCCAGGATTCTGCTAGGCCGCTCAGTTGGCAAGCTTAAACTCCAAAGATTCCGCAGTCTCCGTCTTTCAACGATCACGTCACAGAGACACCAAGGTTAGCACAGGAACATCAGTTTCCAAACTCCTACCCACCGCACAAACAGGCGGGAAGATTCCGCTGCCACCCGTCCTCTCCGCCGCGCACATGGCCGGCCACAGCGCCCACCCCCGCTGCCGCGCAGGCGCCGGGCGAGCCGGGACTTGCGGTCGCAGAGAGCGGATCATTCCGCCGCTTTCTTTGTGTGGCTGAAGCGCTAGAAATGGCATATTTTCCTCCCCTTCGTTAAAAAATCAGACCCTTTTTCTCCTCTCTCCCCTCCGGAACAGAGTCAGGGAGTGGGTAGTAGCGGGATCTGCCGACGAGTGCAGAGACGGAAAATCCTCGGAAGAGGAGTTGACGAGGGCCACGTCCGGGAGGGATGCTGGGAGCTTGACTCACTCGCACACCATGTGTCCCTCCGCGCGCAGCACGGGGGACTTTTCGGTGGGGATTTTGGGCGCCGACCAGACGCGGCATTTTCGGAAAATAGCGCCCTGTGCAGCTGAAGCGCTTTGTGTGTAGCGGGGCCGCGTCAGCCCGGCCGGGTACGAGGCGCCTTGGGTCCCCGCACCACCTCCTGCTGCCTCCCCGTCGCCGCTCCCGAAGCTTTTCCAGGTCAGTGCGGGTCTGTGTAGGGCCCTGTTACCACCGGATGTGGAAGTTGATCTCTTCGCTGGTAAAAAATAATTCCACTTCCCCCGGAACCCAGATCATCCCCGCGATTTCCTGTTTATTGCATTAAGGCGCCGGGTTTCCGGGGCTCCTGGCCCCGCTTATTCCGCGGGGGTCGGCGGGGTCGGCCTGGGCGCCCGCTCCGCCCGCCCCGCCGCTGCGCTTTGTCCGCTGGGCACCCCGCTTCTGGGAGGGGCGGGCAGACATGGTGGCGGCCGCCGCCCCCTCCTCGGCCCTGGCGTGCCGCGGCCTCTTCGCTGCTACCCGTTGGGCCCGTCCCGAGCGGCCGCCCCAGGGTAGCGATGGGGTCGAGCTGAGGCATCGGGGGTTTTTGCGGGCGACTGGAGGTTGGCGGTGGGCGGGAGAGGGAGGAAGACAGGCGCGGCCGGGCGTCGGCCTCTGGGCGCCGCGGTATCCTTTGTCTGGGCAGCCTGACGGCCCCGCCGGGCTCTCCGGAGGGGGTAACGAGCTCAGTAGCTCAGTAGCTCGGGCGATCGGTTCTGGGCGCTCTGTGCTGCGGGGTCGAGGCGCTCGGGCCGGGACGGGAGCGGCCGGCCCGGACGGAGTTAACGGGAGAGCCAGGCCTGTCCCGCGCGGGGCCGCCGCAGAGACAGCCTTGGCCGCGGGGCCTGGAGTCCTGAGAGGGAGAAGCCTGCCCTTCTGAAGGCTCGGCACTTCTGCCCCAAAGACTTCGCCGCCGAGACTGCCGGGTGCACGGCCTCAGGGAAGAAGTTGAGAATTTTGCCAGGTCATCTCTGCCAGGGCACAGTTCATCAGTGTGTGGTTAGTGTGTTTCGGTGAAGCTCTCCTACTGTGTTGAATCAGCCTGCCTAACCTCAAGGGTGCAACGTGAAAACTGAAACCAAAGGAATGATACAGGCCTGCTTTGTGTGTGTCTTCCTACTTTAAGCTTGTTTTCAGTACAGATACTCTTGCTTTAAATCTGATTGGACTATGGCGAGCAGACATCTGTTCAAAGGAGGGGCAGAGACCACAGTACTTCTGAAGGGGGCTTGATAATGTGGAAACATTTTAAGTTTTTTCTCTGGACTGTTTTACTCTCTCGATTCAGGCAAGTTACCGAAGTATAATTTTTATCTGGAAAAGGGTTTGATGTAGTCTGTAAATGGTCCTTGTAAAGTACATTGCCCTCCCAGAATTAAAAGATGCCCTCTCATATCTTATGCAGAAGTTAGTGGACAGACATTCTTTATTGCGGATAGATTATCTCATGTAAAGACCCAGCCAGCTTGGTTTAAATATTTTTCTCACTGACGTATAACCATCAGCTTTGATACTTCCATTTTCAGGCTCAGACTTTGAATTTAAGGAAACTAAAGATGGCTTTTCTTTTCTCTCTTTTTTTTTTTTTCCTTCCCAAAAAAAAAAAAAATCCATTGCATGTTAACATAGATATGTTGAGTGACATCTTAAATTTTTGCAAATCTTTTTTGCAAAATGTCTGGTTCAATAGAAAATTCTTAAATCTTCAGACTGTTGTGGTTAGCACATCATGTAACCTCTGGAACACTCCACTGTACACTCATACTTTAAAAAAAACAAAAAAAAACAAATGTGTCATTCTTACCCTGCATTCACCATGCACGTCAAATCAGGATGTTATGCAAGACACATTTTAAGAAGACGAATAAGATTGATTCCCATGCCTTTTTACTGGGCTCTAACTTTTTTAAAAGTTGGAATTTAGGTGCCTAAACCAAATCACGGATAAGGATTGCATAATCTTCGTATGATATCGGAGACTCAGAAGCATTTGAAAATATTCCTAAGTGATTAAAAATTTTAATTCCAGTACATATTTGTAATGATTTACACAAGTAACGCATGAATTCCACATTACATATGCTTGTGAACACTTCTGTGTAAATGTTATGTTTAAAGATAGAACATGTTGAAAACTATAGGAGGTACAGATTTTTACAGGGAATTAATTCTGCAGTGAATCCTTTGGTGAAGTCAAGAATCGTTTGCAGAGACATAACCCTTAGAGTTCTTTGAATCATTCTGGCTTTTCTAGGTTGGGAGACAATTATACTTAATTGATTAATGTGTAAAAACTTAAGGCAGTACTTTAGTGGTTTTGAAAGGAAGCTAAGTTTGTTTCCAGTTGTTTCTGTGAACTCTAGTCTGAATCTGTCAAGTCTGTAGTTCTCTACTGTTCCATCAACAGGAAGCATCTGGTCATTCGTGTAATTGTTAGAAAACACCAGGTGTATTTTTAATGTTTGCTATTTTAAATGAAAATAGATTGGATCTTGGTTAATTATACTTGCTTGGTTTGGCCGGGCGCGGTGGCTCACGCCTGTAATCCCGACACTTTGGGAGGCGGAGGCAGGCAGATAGCCTGAGGTCAGGAGTTCGAGACCAGCCTGGCTGACATTGTGAAACTGCGTATCATGAGGAATTCAGAAATTACATGAAGTTTTGAATCATGAATTTATTTTTGAGGGTGCATGAGGAGGCTACCCAGTCTCTTTTTTTAAGTAGCCTGAGTTCAGATGAACTCACTGATGGCCTCCATCTCTTCTCTCTGACTTTAACTTTGCAAACATTAAAAAACAAACCCACACAAAATCTTGACGTTCAGAGCCAGAGCAACTTAGTTTCCTTAGTGTCATGTCTCTCCTCCTCCCTCCTCCCCAACAACTATTATGATTTCCAGCTAGTAATCACAATGTTTCTATAGCTCTGATATGTCTACTTTGGGACAGCTATAGTTAGTATTACACCTTTCTGAAGATGTTTGTTCCTTCATGCTTTCTGGAAGGTAAATCTAGCATTAGATGAGATCAGTATTAGGGCCTGTGTTTTTTCTCTGTGTTCACATCCCAGTGCTCTATACAGAGAAGATGCTTTGATGCAATCAGCTGTCAGTTCAGTTGTTGGTGACCTAGTGCACCTTTCTCTCTCTCTCTCTCTCCCTCCCTTTACTCCTTCTCCCCTTTCTCTCTCCCCTTCCCACCCTGTCTCCCCCTCTGCCCCTTTTCTTTCCTTGATAGAGTCTTGCTTGCTCCGTTACCAAGGCTGAGTGCAGTGTTGCAATTATGTTTCACGGTACGCGCCACCTTTGAGGTTCAAGCGATCCTGCCTCTGCCTCAACCTCTTGAGTAGCTGGAACTACAGGTATGTGCCAACACATCCGGCTAATTTTTTAGTTTTTTTGTAGAGACAAGATCTCACTATGTTGCCTAGGCTGGTCTCAAACTCCTGGACTCAAGTGATCCTCCCACCACGGCCTCTCAAATGTTGGGATTACAGGCGTCAGCCACCATAGCTGTCCGTGAATAATTCTTAAGTTGGTAGAACAGCTTATTGAAAGAGCAAGGTTAGACCCACTTTATTTTGTACTGGTTATATTATACTTGGGGTATTGGGACGGCTTTTTGGGTAGCATACTATCATAAGTGAGACCTTGTATTCATTCTCAGACTCTTTCAGCATCATCTGGAGAGCTAATAAAACACACACACACACACACACACACACACAGAGGCTCAAGATTAAGTAAGCTAGGACCAGACCTCTGTTTTTCTCATTTCCAAGGTGGTGGACATGTTTAAGTGTTGAAATCACTTATCTGTAGAGGATAAATGTGAGAGAAATTTGAAATGAGAAAAAGTTGAAAAAATGGGGTGTTTGACCTAAAGAAGTGAAGTTTCTTTTAAGAAGTAACAGCTACCTTTAAGGATTTGGAGTTCTGTCACACGGAAGGATCAGATTTGCCTTGACCAGAAGGAACTAGGGTCAGTGGGTAGAAGTTTAAAAGAAGTAGATTTCAGCTCTCTTCCAAGAGATATTTGCTCAAACCTGTAAAAATAGGATGGGTTGTTTTGGGTGGTAGTCTGTCCTATTCACTGACAAGTTGGGGTTTCTAGAGTACAGGAATTGTGCTGAAGGAGAATTTGGGCCAGGTGTCTTCTAGTTACCTATAAACTTTAAGGTTTAGTTAAATATGCCAAGGTTTACAGGTGGAAGCACAAAAAGCTAATTGAGTGAACCAAGCTGATTAACTTTATTGGATAATAGTTTTTGCCTTCTTGGATAAAGAGAAATGAGTGTTAAGTGAGAAGGCTATTTGAAGAAGGGCTTTAAACCACACTAATTTGGCAGACTCAGAGCCTTAAAAATGGGCATACCTTGTGATATGAAAATTCCCTTTAAAGGCATTTTTTTGATGTAGTAAAGATGTGTGTGAAGATTTAGCTGTGAACATACCAACTGCCGTTTTGTTAATAATAAAAGCTGTGTATTAATGCCTTTAACCCCCACAGTAATCATATGAAGTGGGTAGTACTATTTTTGTTTTGCAGAAGAGAAAACAGGCATAGAGAAATTAGGTTGCTTGCTCAAGGTAGCTGAGTTAGTAAGTATTAGGGCCAGGCCTTGAATCCAACCAGTGTGACTCCAGAGCCAGTACTCTTGATCATAATGTGGTAAAATTGTAAACAATCTAAATGTTTCACAGTGATTGTTAAGGTCTGTCCCTACAGTGGGGTACTGCCTACTCAGCCATGAAAATGATGAAAAGATAATATAAAGACATGAAAGGATGTCTTGGTATACGTGAGAAAAAGTAGATTTAAAAACATGATTTCATTTTGGTAAAAAAAAGCCCAAAACAATAATATATTGATGTCTGGAAGGATATGTGCCAAATTGGTTATTTCTGAGTATAGCTTTATAGATGATTATTTTCTTTTTGCTTATTCAAATTTTCTAACTTCTTCAATGAATATGAATTATTGTGTGTTGTAATTAAGATATTAAGATGTTATTTTTCAATAAAAAAGATATTAGCATAAGCTGAGAAATTTGGGTTTATTCTCTGCATTTTAAGCAAGTTCATGGAAATTGTACATAAATGAGAATTTATAAATGCATGTAGTGTTTTGTAATTTTTTGTTTGATTCCTTACTCTGGAAGTAATGTCAATTGAATAGAGAAATATATCACTGACTCCTACCACCTTACCATAATCAATTCTCTTGTGTTTTGTTAATCTTATGTGTAATATTTTAAATATTTATCCCAGCGTCATCCCAGTTAGTTACACTCTAGCTTTGTGATTTTAGGCAGTTTACTTAACTTTCCGTGTCTCAGTTTACTTCTTTGTAAAATGGGATTATTATAATACCTAGCTCATGATAATTGGAAAGATTAAATGAGTTATTTCATATAAAGTGAAGAGAACAGTACCTGACACATAGTTAATAGCTCAGTCAATGTTAGCAATTGTAGGATAACAGTTCACTATTCAAATTCTTAGTGTTTTGGAATAAGATTTTTTTTTGATATGGGCAAGGTAGTAATGTGTGGCCTTTTAACAGAATCCAGTGCAATACCTGCCTTCAAAAGTGTTACTATTTCTATAGCAAAATGTATGAATGTTTGCACTAAATAGGATAAAGACCATGAATAGCTTCATATCAGTTTGCGTAAGGTTTAACACAAGATGAGTTAGTTGGGGTTTCAGAAGTTTTTTTGGATTTTTGGAATTGCAGATAAGGAACCTGTTAAGTATTTACTCAATTTTTAGTCCTAATTTATTACAATATTAAAACATCTTTTCATGGTATTATATAGTTTTATAGTACATGGTAAATTTAACAGTCAATTAAAATAGTGGTAGCCGAGCATGGTGGTGGGCACCTGTAATCCCAGCTGCTAGGGAGGCTGAGGCAGGAGAATTGCTTGAACCCAGGAGGCAGAGGTTGTAGTGAGCCGAGATTGTGCCATTGCACTCCAGCCTAGGCACAAGAGCCAAACTCTGTCTCAAAAAAAAAAAAAAAAAAAAAAAAAAAAGGAAAACGTCCACCTCTATCTCCTTTGGTTTAAAAAGTACTGAGCACACTGATACTGTTATTTTATTTTTTTTAATTTTAAATTTGAAACTTTTAGGCTGGGTGCAGTGGCTTATGCCTGTAATCCCAGCACTTTGGGAGGCCAAGGTGGGCAGATCACCTGAGGTCAGGAGTTCGAGACTAACCTGGCCAACATGGTGAAACCCCATCTCTATTAAAAATACAAAAATTAGCCAGGCATGGTGGCATGCACTTATAGTCCCAGCAACTCGGGAGGCCAAGGCAGGAGCATCACTTGAGCTTGGGAGGTGGAGGGTGTAGTGAGCTGATATTATGCCACTGTATTCCATCCTGGGTGACAGAGAACAAGACTCTGTCTCAAAAAAAAAAAAAAAAAAAAAAAATTGAAACTTTGAAAAACTGCCCCTGTTGGCCCTGACTGTGATTCTCTTATTAAGAATTATCCTAAAGTAATGGTGTGATTATATTACATTATGTAGTGTAATTTTTTTCTAAAAGAGCTTTGAGCATTCCTATAACCCAAATAGCTTGTTTATGTCTCATTACACTTGAGGAATAATATTCTTTTTTTTTTTTTTTTTTTTTTTTTTTAGTACGGAGTCTTGCTCTGTCACCCAGTCTAGAGTGCAAGGGCACGATCTCGGCTTACTGCAACCTCTGCCTCCCTGCAACCTCCGCCTCCTGGGTTCAAGCCATTCTCCTACCTCAGCCTCCCGAGTAGCTGGGACTACAGGCGCGCGCCACCACTCCTGCAAATTTTTTTGTATTTTTAGTGGAGGCCACAGGGTTTCACTGTGCGTTAGTGAGGATGGTCTCCACCTCCTGACCTCATGATCTGCCCAACCCCGCCTCCCAAAGTGCTGGGATTATGGGTGTGAGCCAACATGCCTGGCCCAAGATATTTTTTTTTTTTGCAGACACAGTTTCACTCTGTTGCTCAGGATGGAGTGCAGTGGCGTGATCTCAGCTCACTGCATCCTCTGCCCCCCAGTTTCAAGTGATTCTCCCAAGTAGCTGCAGTTACAGGCGCCCACCACCATGCCCAGCTAATTTTTGTATTTTTAGTAGAGACAGGGCTTGGCCACGTTGGCCAGGCTGATCTCGAACTCCCGACCTCAGGTGATCTGCCCACCTTGGCCTCCCAAAGTGCTGAGATTACAGGTGTGAGCCACGGCACCCAGCCTGTAGTAGTGATTCTTTAAAGGAGGTGGGTAGATGCCACTATACCTGTCTTTAACACACCCGTTCTGTGGTTGTGGAGACTGAGGTAGTCATAAAAATTACAGTACTGAATTTTGGAATTAGGCTGATTATTCTTCTTATAAGAGTTTTGGATGTATAGCCCCTTCTGACTCCTGTAATCTTTTATGTCCATAGCACTTAATTTATATCCAAACAGAGGAAAAAATAATGACTAGTATGGTGCTTGCTTCTGCAGCACATGTACTAAAATTGGAACGATGCAGAAAAGATTAGCGTGGGCACAAGGAGGACATGTAAATTTGTGATGGGTTCTGTATTTATTATTTTTAATAATAAAAAGTAAAAAAAAATTAGTATGGTGTATACTATACCTTTATCTCCTAAATGGGTTGTGTGAACTCTATGATCTTTGCCCATGTGATTACTTTTCCTGTGTTCCTTTATGTGTTTCATTCATAGAGACTCCCGGTTTCTCTTCCTTAGTGCTGTGGTCTGAATGCTTTTATCTCCCCAAAATTCATGCTGAAATCTTAATCTCCAAGATGATGATATTAGGAGGTGGGGCCTTTGGGAGGGATCAGCTCAGGTGGGTGGAACCCTAATGAATGGGATTAATGCTTTTATAAATGAGACTCCAGGCTGGGCGGGGTGGCTCATGCCTGTAATCCCAGCACTTTGGGAGGTTGAGGTGGGTGAATCATGAGGTTGGGAATTCAAGACCAGCCTGGCCAAGATGGTGAAATCTTGTCTCTAGTAAAAATACAAAAATTAGCTGAGTGTTGTGGAAGGAAGGAGCCAGTAATCCCAGCTACATGAGAGGCTAAGGCAGGAGACTTGCTTGAACCCGGCTGGTGGAGGTTGCAGTGAGCTCAGATTGTACCACTACACCCAGTCTGGGTGACAGAGTGAGACTCCGTCTCAAAAAAAAAAAAAAGACTCTAGGCAGCTTGTTAGCCCTTTCTTTCATGTGAGGTTACAGCAAAAAGACTGCTGTCTAGAAACAGGCCCTTAGCAGATACTGAATCTGCCAGTGCCTTAGTTTGGATTTCTCAGCCTTCAGAACTATTAAAGATAATTTTTCTGGGCTGAGTGTGGCGGTTCACGCGTGTAATCCTGGCACTTTGGGAGGCTGAGGCGGGAGGATTGCTTGAGACCAGCCTTGGCAACATAGTGAGACCCCATCTCTACCAAACAAACAAACAAACAAAAAGTCATTTTCTGTTGTTTGAAAGGCACCCAGTTCATGGTATTTTGTTTTATAGCAGCCCAAACAGACTAAGACTTTACCTTACTCCTGTAGGCACTAGATAGAGTCTGTATTTTGATATCATTCATTTATTTTATGTTTTACTGGACTCCTGTTGTCAAATTTTTCCACCATCGATTTATTCTGTTTTCCCTCACAGGTCACAGCATATTTGTGGAGGAAGGTGAGTAATTATGAAGATTATCTTGGCCACTATAAATTTATGCTCAACAATTCCAAATAGGCCCTTCCTACTTCTTGGCAATCATCTTATTAATTGCATTTTTCTGTTGTCTTGTATTCCTTCTTCCTCTTTAACTCTCAGTAGATGCCATTTACTTCTATTTAAATGAAAAAGAAAAACCAGGTGTAAGCTTGCACATTTTTTTTCATTGTCACCATAACAAATCTCTATTCTTTCATTTTATTTTGTAAATTGAATGGAAGAAGAATCTTGCTGCCACAGTTAAGTTTACCTCTCTTGTCACTTTGGTTGTTATTTGCAGTGTTTTTTCTTCCCTACCTTCAAATATGTACAGACTCCTGTACTTTGGGAGGAAAAAAAATCAGTTTTGATTAACTGCTGCTACTGTTCTTTGCAGCTATCTGCCGCATTTCTCTTCTTTATTTCGAAAATTTTAAGAATTGAATTATAGTTGCTGCCCTGAGTTTTTTTTTTTTTTCAGAGACAGGGTCTCACTGTGTTGCCCAGGCTGGAGTGCAGTTGCAGCTCACTGCATCCTCCCCAGGCTTAGGTGATCCTCCTACCTCAGTTCCTGAGTGGCTGGGAGTACAGGCGTTTGCCACCAAGACTGGCTAATTTCGTATTTTTCTGGTAGAGACGAGGTCTCACTGTGTTGTCCAGGCTAGTTAAGTCCTGAGTTCTTTTACTACTACTTTCCTAACTTATGCAGTTTTGGAATATCATAATTCAGATTGTTGCTTTAGAGGACATCCTTTGTGTCGATTATTTTGGCTTCATCCTGACTCTTTTCAGCTAGTATATATGTGTTACTATTTCCACCGAGGCTTCTTAATGTTCTTTTCTTGCTCTTTGTGTTAATTTACCATCCTGGTTTTCCCTTCTGATTACTACTTTTCTGATTTGTTGGTAGTTTCTTGAGCCTCTTAGCACTGTTATTCTCATCAGTACTTGATTCTTTATTCCCCTCTCTGTCTTCTCTCAGATGTTTTACATGCTGATGACTCCCAAATGTGTGTCCCATGCACATTTGTTCCTCTAATAGTTTACTGGATATGTCTGTTGGAAAATTCAAGGAATTTCCATCTTTTTTTTTTTTTTTGTAAAGACCCAAGTTTCACTCTTGTTGCCCAGGCTGGAGTGCAATGTTGTGATCTTGGCTCACTGCAACCTCTGCCTCCCAGGTTCAAGCAGTTCTTCTGCCTCAGCCTCCCAAGTAGCTGGGATACAGGCATGTGCCACCATGCCTGGCTAATTTTGTATTTTTAGTAGAGACAGGGTTTCTCCATGTTGGTCAGGCTGTTCTTGAACTCCTGACCTCAGGTGATCTGCCTGCCTTGGCCTCCCAAAGTGCTGGGATTACAGGCGTGAGCTACCGCAGCCAGCCCCGTCACATTTAGATTTATTATTACTTAGCTTTTCACCTGCTCCCAGATTTTCTTTTAATTTCATCATTATCATACTTAAATCTTTTTGTTTGTTTGTTTGAGGTGGAGTCTCACTCTGTAGCCCAGGCTGGAGTGCAGTGGCGGAATCTTGGCTCACTGCAACCTCCGCCTCCAGGGTCCGGGTTCAAGCAGTTCTCCTACCTCAGCCTCCCAAGTAGCTGGCACTACAGGTACAAGCCACCATGCCCAGCCAGCTAATTTTTGTATTTTTTAGTAGAGGTGGGGTTTCGCCATGTTGGCCAGTCTGGTCTTGAACTCCCGACCTCATGATCCACCCGTCTCGGCCTCCCAAAGTGCTGGGATTACAGGTGTGAGTCACTGCGTTTGGCCACTTAAATCTTGAAGTAGTCTGCAATGCATGCTTTTACTTTATATCTTTTTTTTTTTTTTTTTTGAGACGGAGTTTCGCTCTTGTTACCCAGACTGGAGTGCAGTGGTGCGATCTCGGCACACCGCAACCTCCGCCTCCTGGGTTCAGGCAATTCTCCTGCCTCAGCCTCCCCAGCAGCTGGGATTACAGGCACGCGCCACCATGCCCAGCTAATTTTTTGTATTTTTAGTAGAGACGGGGTTTCACCATGTTGACCAGGATGGTCTCGATCTCTTGACCTCGTGATCCACCCGCCTCGGCCTCCCAAAGTGCTGGGATTACAGGCTTGAGCCACCGCGCCTGGCGCTTTTACTTTATTTCTTACATGTATCAATCAGCACAGTTGTTTTCCCTTTATTGGCCCTGAGTTTGTCCTGGAATTCTGTATTGCCTATTATTTGCTCTCTTTAAACTTTAGATTCTCCTTCCTTGAATCTGTTTTGCGTATGACTGCCAGAATAATTTGTTTTTGAAAAATTTTTGAACCTGTTGCTAAACATACAAGCCTGAGGAGAGAACATGTGCTGTTGACCTTTGCACTGTCTATTCTGTCAAAGCGAGTTGAACCTGTGCTGAATAAATGTTTGAAAGGGTCACCATTTGGTCAAATCTTTGAATGATTCCCAGTTTACAAGATAAAGTCCAAATTCTACTTTCTGACTTTTAAACGTTTTTATATTATATTCTTCTTCAGCCTTGATCCTTACTCTTGAGCATTATTAAGCTGGTGTTTCCTCTGTGATATATCTTGCTTAAGCACAACTCCATTCATTCTTCCTTTAACTTGCCTGTCAAAGCCTATTCAGGGATGTTTGCCCTGTGGCGGACACTGTTCTAATCTCTGGTGTTATAGTGATGAACAAAACAGAAGACAAAGTCCCTGTTTTCTTAGAGCTGACCTTTGTGGAGAGGGACACAAACATGTGCCATTAATGTGGTGGTAATGAGTAAAATGAAAAGGAATAAAAGTAGACAAGGGGATAGACTGGCGGGATGTGGTGGCTATCTTACGTTGTCTGGGAGAGCTGCTCCCTGGGTGTCGTAGACTGCAGGAGCAAAGTTATCTAAGCAGAGTTTTTTGGGCAGCAGAACCAATATATGCTAGACCCTAAAGGGCGAACACATTTGCCTTGTTCAATGAATTACTAAGACTTTTGTGGCTAGAGCACGGTAACTAAGGGGGAGAATGATAGTTGAGCTGAGAACTGATGGTGGGGAGAGAATATTATGCTTCAAATGTTAAGTCCTTCATTGAAGAGGCGTTCCATGACTACTACTACTTGTTAATATAAACCTTGGAACTTATATAACTATGGAAGTAGCTTTCAGATGATTGTTTATTCTGACTCCCAATAAAAAATGTATCTTACATGGTAATTGTGTATACATGTTATTGCATGCACGTGTGTGTGAGTGATAACTGCATTTGATACATGATGATATTTCCAAAAACATTGTCCTTAACCTACTAAAGTGATTTCACAGTTGGTTAATAGGTCATGACCAACAGTTTGAAAAGCGCTAATTTATGGTGTCTATACGCATTTAAACAAAACACTGAACTGCGAACTTCTTTTGAAAAGCACTAATTTATGGTGTCTGTACTCATTTAAACAAAACACTGAACTATGAACTCTACACATGTTTTCAGTTTGTGAAATATTTTTGATTAAAGATCTTGCTTTCAATTTTTTTTTTTTTTTTTTTTTTTTTGAGTTGGAGTTTTGCTCTTGTTGTCCAGGCTGGAGTGCAATGGCGCGATCTTGGCTCACTGCAACCTCTGCCTCCTGGGTTTAAGCAATTCTCCTGCTTCAGTCTCCCTAGTATCTGGGATTATAGGCATGCACTACCACGCCTGGCTAATTCTTGTATTTTTAGTAGAGACAGGGTTTCTCCGTGTTGGTCAGGCTGATCTCAAACTCTCGACCTCAGGTGATCCACCTGCTTTGGCCTTCCAAAGTGCTGGGATTACAGGCGTGAGCCACCACGCCCGGCCTTTGCCTTCAGTTTTTGTGTGTGTAGGTTTATAATGTTTCTAATAATGCTGAATAGAAAGGACTTGTTTAATTTCTTTTTTTTTTTTTTTAACTACCCACCTGCAACTGCCTTGAGTTATAGAGGACTTGTTTAATTTAGCAGACATCTGTTGAGTGGCATATTACAAGCTGCTAGATACTAAAATACATAATAAGATAAACTATTAACCTTTACTCATAGAAGGGTTAAGAAGGAAAAAAAAAGATAAATCCCTGTCTGACTTCCTAAGGCTTATGGGAGAGGAAAGCTTGTAAATAAATAATTTGTAATGTGATGGAATCTATCTAATAACGGAAGTGTGTTAAGGCCACAATGAGAGAATAAAGAAGTGATTCTTCTTTGCTGAGAAGGTCAAGGGAAACTTACTGGAGGAGGTAATGTCTGAACTGGGTTTGGAGGGAGAAGAGGACTACTTGGTCAGGTAAATTCAGAAATGGAAGATTTCTTAGGCAGCATAACATAAAGGAGTGAAATCATGAGACAGAATAGCACATGAAGGGTAACTGTAGATAACCCTGTATTCAAATGTAAATCCAAGGAGGAAATGGTGAGTGATGAGGCTGCCGTGAGGCAAGGTCACATCCTTAAAGGTCTCAGACGGGTTGGAGTTACCACTTATTTAATGATTATGCATATTAGGGGAAAATACTGTATAGTCAGAATTTTAGGAAGTTGCTATATGAGAAGTAAGATACCATCTCTCAATAATTCCAAAACAGCCAGTTTTTCCCTAGTGATGAAATGTATCACTGTTTCCTCAATTGTGCGCTGGAGAAAGATGGCTTACATTTATGGGCTATGTTATACAAACAAAAAATCTTATAAAATGTTAACTTATCCATTACAATGAGAAGTTCATTCAATAAGATGCATTTGAGAACTGAGACCTACTGAGGAAGTAGATTCACATTTCAAGCTTATGCTGGGACTTATGAAGTAGAATGGTGGGTAGACAACTGTTTAAAAATTTTCAAGTTAAATTATACATATGGTTCAATGCCACTGTATTCTATAGGTGATTGGAATACATGATTATATCTGCATTCATTTTGGAAAGATATTTTTATAAATTTGACCAAACCACAATTTAAGACTTTATGACATTTAGAATATGCAAATTTTAAAGA